AGGAAATTTGAAAGAAGGGGGCAGTAGCTCACATGCAATAAAACAAAGACAAATAAATAAAAATGACACAGCCTGGGGCAGAGTGGGCAGTGAGCTGATGAAGCCATGAGCTGATGGCCTTTGACCTGGTAATATCAGTTTTAGCAACCTACACCAAAGCAATAATTTAAAAGAAAAGAAAAGGTCACCTATTTTTTTTAAAATATATTTTATTGATTTTTTACAGAGAGGAAGGGAGAGAGACAGAGAGTTAGAAACATCGATGAGAGAGAAACATCGACCAGCTGCCTCCTGCACATCTCCCACTGGGGATGTGCCCGCAACCCAGGTACATGCCCTTGACCGGAATCGAACCTGGGACCTTTCAGTCCGCAGGCCGACACTCTATCCACTGAGCCAAACCGGTTTCGGCAAGGTCACCTATTTTTATGAAATCGTAGATCTGCTCTGTAGTACTGGAAATTGCTCCTATGGCCAGTGGGTGCCTAGACAAACTCTGGCACTACCAATCCCATGGGACATTATAATGGAATGCAGAATGGAGAACTGAGGATTGTAGAAAGGACTGTGTGAAGTCATTTTTAAAGAGCTCATTATATGCAGTGTAGCATCCTAGACTGGGCCCTGGAACAGAAGGACATGAGTGGGGTGGGGAGGGAAATGTGGATAAAGTTTAGTTAATAGTAACTTCTTAGTCTTGATGGTCGTGCCATGATTATGAAGAGGTTATTAGGGAAAGCTAGGTGAAGGGTATATGGGAACTAAATCTCTGCGATTCTTATAAATCTCAATTTTTGTTAAAGTGAAAACAAATGTGAAAAACAAAAAGTGAAAAAAATGTTTTTTCTTTTAAAGACAAGATACTTTCTGCTTATTTGTGGGGGGGGGGGGGGGTCGCACTCAGTTTCCTAGTCCACGACAGACAGGAAAATGTAAATGTTTATCTAAAGAAGTTACTTCTACAGCTTGAACACTTGGAAAATCCTGGTTTTCTAGCCAGTGGTCCCCTGTTAGGTGCCCGAGGCAGCATTAAATAGGTGAGGAGCGACTAAGAGGGTGGATGGGGGAGAGGGGATTGATGCAGCGTAGGGGTTGGGTGGGGGGGGGGTGCGGTTTCCAAAGTGGCTTCATTAAAGTCAGTTCTAAACTCACTGGCTTCTTCAAAATGTGTAAAATGCAAATGCATTAGGGCTGTTGGATTTGAAATAGCTGTAATTCTGAGAGAACATCTTGGCCTTCTCCACAGGCCTTCCCTTGGCCCGATTCCATGAATGGGCGGCGTGACCACGTGACCACGCACCCCGGGGAGAAGCACATCGGACAACAGCTCAGTGTCTGCAAAGGGACTAAGCGGTGGCCCCAAAGTGTGTACATGTGCTGATCACCAGCGACGCAGACTACCTCCATTCCAACCCCCGCTTCCTCCCGCTGTGGGCCCGCGTTTATCGTAAGACCGACTGATGTGATACTACTGAGGAGGGGGCTGAAACACGCTGCACCCACTGCACTTCTAGAGTCCAGAGTTCATCTCGGCCCCAAGTCAGACCCGAAAGCGGGTCCGCCATCCCCCACCGTTTACAGAGAATGAGTTTTGCTTGGGAGTTTGTCCTTTCTTTCCAGTGACGAATGCTGTGAAATACCAACAGACAATACCCCAATTTCTCTCTGTCTCTAAGTGCTTGGCATTTGTGGAGGACACGGATCACATCATTTGCTGGGGGCACCTAAATGAAGCTCCCAGTGAGACTTTCCTCCAGACAGTCTAGTGGGCAAGGGCGCTGGAGCCCGATGGCCTGGGCGCCAATCCTGACTCCACTACTGATTCGCTGCTGAACCTCCCAGGCCTCCGTTTCCTCATCTGCAACATGGGGACAACGGTACTTGGCCCTCTACATTTTTATGAGGATGAGAGTCAACGGAAATAAAGTCTTTAGGATCATGCCTGGCAAAAAGTTGGCCCTCAATCAAGATTCATGATTACAGTGATTTTAGGACGAGGTACTAGAAAAACCATCACATTCCACAAGAAAGTGGGGTGCTATTGCACACTGAACAGTGTGATTCGTATAAAGTGGGGTTCAGAAACCCTTTTCCCATCCCTCTATGCTTGGGGTTGTCAACAGCAACAGTGACTTTCTACAGCCCGGGGACCTTCAGGCCCAGGGTGGGCGGGTAGTTAGAAGCGGGTGCACTTTGCCCAAGTCCCTCCAAGATTCTGAGTTGCCCTTAGAGGTTCGTGTCATTCACCCTCAACGTAAACAGACGGATGCACTGATAATGCCCTTATCTTTTCTGCGCCTCTTAAAGAGAACATTCCTTCTCATAAGTCTTCTCGTATCTTTTGTGGAACAAAGTAGGATACACAGTAAATAATACAGTACATGTACTTTCTTGTTTAGAACGGAGCACAACCGCAGCACCTGACCACAAAGCTGGCCTCCGTACCAGCACAAACACATTCACAGCAGGTGTGGGAACAGACCTGCTGGCCACAGAAAGGTGGCAGATAAGAGCTCGATAAGCAAAACACCTCAGAGGGGAAAAGAGAAAGCGTCAACTTCAGTGGTATTTCAGCCAGGCCTCCATTCCTGGTACCAGTTCCCTCCCCGTTCCACGCATCACCCTCTGAGCCCTCGCTTGTCAGTTTCACACAGTAGCTTTAGGGCCCTCACTGCCCCAGCCCTTGAGGGTGGAGAAAGAGCCCTGGCCGGGTGGCAAGGTTGGTTGGAGCACCATCCCGTACACCAAAGCACTGTGGGTTCGATTTTGGGTCAGGGCATGTACCTAGGTTGTAGGTTCCTTCGATCCCCACTTGGGGTGCATGTGGGAGGCAGCCGACCAATGTTTCTCTCTCACATCAATGTCCCTTCCTCTCTCTCTCTAAAACCAATAAAAAAATATCCTCAGGTAAAAATAAAAAGAGTGGAGAGAGATACCGCTGCCGCTCACCCCTCCTCCTCCAGTCTGTGCTGATGGCCCTTGAATGACGCCTGGTAGCAAAGCAAGTTATTCACATCCCACCTTCCTGTTACACTGCATCCCTTCCTTGCCATGAAATTTATCTTTAAAGGCCAGCATGCTAGCGGCAGGCCAAGGACTTGTTCCGAACACCGCTGGCTCCGAGCGGCCTTCGTGCAGACAGGCTGTGCTTGGAATGAAGCCGAGCGGACGGGGAGCAGTGGAGTCATCAACACGAACCCTGCGTGTCTTACCGAGGCCAAGGCACTTGGGCCGTTTCCGGCAAAGGAGTGGAGGCTCTGAGCCTGCAAGGTGTAGCTGCTACTAAGGGAGCCTGCTTCCTGTTTTATTCACAGACACAGATCTGCTTGGCGATTCAGAAAATATATCTAGAACCAGCTTCATAATTTGCAAATGAAAATGAAAAATGAAAAATGAAAATTAGGGCCCCCTTGTTCAAAAGAGCAGGAAAAAAATGCTGTAAAAGTATTAAAACATGAAACTTCTCACTTTTGCATTCTCTCTCTTGACTTACGGTGTTTTTAGCTTGTTGTTTAATGTCACGCTCCCTCGGGCATGGGGATACTGGCAGGGGGAGTGCAGACCATCCCAGGCCCCAGGGACCCTGCCCACCCCCACAGACCATCATCTTCTGGGCTCCCCCTCCCACCAGCTGCTGGACCACTACATTGCACCCTGGCCAGAGGTGGGAAAACTGAGCCTGGAATCCCCCTTGTCCATGGACTCACTCTCCCAACCCCCAACCCAAAGCAGACAGGTGTCCCTCAAGTTTATTGCAACATCTGCGCCAGGACATGCTAGGCCCCTAGAATGAGAGTAGGCAGGCTTCACCCACCCGAGTCACCCACTAAACACCCCCGGTGCTGCCAGCCTGGGCCGGGCAGGCCACTGCTTTGACCCTTCCCGAGACACCGTGGACCTTATGTGCCCAACACCAACTCTCCCCATGCTCACTCCTAGACTTCTATGGGGGTGGAAGGCAACGGAGGTGGCTGGGTGGGGACACGGGTAGGGAGGTCTGGCAGAGTCTGGTGTAGGGAGGTGGCAGGGCTGTGCACACGCTAAGGCTCCCACCCCTGGTGCACACGCCATTGCCCCACGGACTCACTACCACACAAAGTCAAAGATGAAATGATTAAGAATTTCAAGGTGGCGACTGCATTGAATTAAACCCCCAGGCCTGGGTCCCTGATTCACAGCACAGGGCCCTGTACAACTGCATGACACCAAGCCTGTAAGGCTGGCCCTCGGGTACCCCACCAGAAGGCCAAAAGCGAAAGTTCACTCTCACTTTCCATCATAAAGCATGCCTGCGCTGGTGACAGGGACGGCAAAGAGGCCTCGCCCTGCACGGGTGTGAGGCCACCCTGGAGGAGGCATACCACCTGCAAGGCAGAACCGGGTTTACCTTTAAAGCAGCGGTTCTCAACCCCTGGGTCACGACCCTTTTGGGGGTCGAACGACCCTTTCATAGGGGTCGCCTAAGACCATCGGAAAACACATATATAATTACATATTGTTTTTGTGATTAATCACTATGCTTTAATTATGTTCAATTTGTAACCATGAAAATACATCCTGCATATCAGATATTTACATGACGATTCATAACAGTAGCAAAATTACAGTTATGAAGTAGCAACAAAAATAATTTTATGGTTGGGGGTCACCACAACATGAGGAACTGTGTTAGAGGGCCACGGCATTAGGAAGGTTGAGAACCGCTGCTTTACAGGCTTCTGAAGCCCATCCAAACGGTCATTTCCACTTGCCACGCTGTGCAAAAAACCGATGTGCTGAGAGACAGGCCGAGTCGCGATGATCACAGAAATCCTCCCAAAGCTGACTTGGACTAGGGATTTACTTTAAGTGTTGGGGAGATTAGAAAAGACAGCGCATCGAGGGATAATTACTTAATAAGTGGGTCTGGGTTGATGGTTTGTAAAAACTGGGCCATTATCCAAAGTCATTACTTTGAGGTGAGACTATAACCTACTTGCTGAAAGCACGTTTTTACCAACCTTCGCTTCTGGGTCGCTGTTGATACTACAAGAATCGTCATCAGCATGAGGGGCATTTCTAGAAAAAACAAACAACACATAAACCAACAGAAAATGGGACTGAGAATTCTATTGCAAACTCTGGTGGCAAAAAGCCACACGTCAGGGCTGGGCGTCCCCATGCCCTACCTGAGTTTCAAAGATGCATAGCGCAGTGTTGCTCCTTCAAACTCTTTGAGACTGGGGTCCGGGTTAACGGTGGCGGCGTGCAGATCCTAGAAGAAAACAGATGCCCGTTAGGGGAGGACGGGGGAGGGCCCGTGACACGGCTGCAAATGTCATGAGAGAGGAGAGTCCTCCCGCCGGAGGCAGAGTGCACGTGAGCTTAGGCGGAAGGAGGCATGCAAGGGCTGCTGGGTGCTGGCTCCGTGCAAGGTGCTGCTCACAGACAGCAGGCAGCCGGGGCAAGCAGCCTGAAGTCATTCGCAAGGGGAGACGTCAAAAAAGGGCCACGTGTGTGTGAGCTGGGCGTCCCTAGCAAGAAGCCCCCTCACTCCGTCCCTGCCGAATGCACGATGCTCGCAGAGAAGAGAAAGGTGCAGCCACAGCCATGCACAAAGGACAACATCGTAAATGATCTAAAAGCTGACAATATACTTGCCTTCCAAATGTCACTATTAATCTTCCCCCCATTCAGAACAGCAAAATCACTCCATGGCTGTTTCTAGACATATAATTATTCACACAGGAAAAAAAGCACATTGATTAAAAAAAAAGAAAGAAAGAAAAGAAAAAGGAAAGGAAAAAAAAGACACAAGACACTGTTGTTAGCATTGATATTCACAGGATGAGTTAGGGAACAAATTTACTCTAACAGCCACTTGCTAGCTCACTCTCTCTAGATCTAGGTTAGCATCCAAAGACTAGGCAGGGGGAAGGAGAGGGCACCTTACTTACCAAAACACATGCCTGAACATTATCAGCAGGCAGAGAACTGGTTTGCTCAATGTGGCCATACAAGCAAACAAAATGCTTCCAAATATTAAATCCCCAGCACAGCTAACCCCATTGGGACCATTTTCTTTCCCATGAACCACACAAAGCTGTTGTCTTAGGTAGGGGTGCACTTGTCAATGTGCTGGTTTGGAAACTGAGGAATGTCCATGGCCAAGGGCCTAAAAAGCTGAGGGGTCAAATTATTTTCATTTAAAAGGAAAAAAAAAAAAGGACCACGAATGGGAAAGAGTTAGTAAGGAACGGTCTGACATCACCATCTTGCTGAGATTCAGCCCTGAACAAGGAACGTAAATTCCTCTAATCCAGTGGTTCTCAACCTTCTGGCCCTTTAAATACAGTTCCTCATGTTGTGACCCAACCATAAAATTATTTTCGTTGCTACTTCATAACTCTAATGTTGCTACTGTTATGAATCATAAATATCTGATATGCAGGATGGTCTTAGGCGACCCCTGTGAAAGGGTCGTTCAACCGCCAAAGGGGTCGAGACCCACAGGTTGGGAACCGCTACTCTAATCCATAGACAGCTCTGCTTCTCGGACACGCAAGCCTCTTCACAAGTTAATATCTGATCACTACACATAATCACAGAACAAAGCAGGAAGGCTTGCCTTGTTGGAAGAACTCTTACAATAGACCTTTGAATCTAAACAAAAACTTCTAGTTCGGAAATTCCCCACCCACCTCCCCCCACTAGATTGAGTGACTATTCAAATATTTTTCATCCAAGATTCGGGGAAAGAATGCTAATCAGGCCCAGGGACATCCTTATGAGTTTGTTGCATTGACTCGGTGGGCAGATCTCTTTTCTCAGACAATAAATCCACAATGGAAACGTCAACTACAGCCCTTTGACAATAAGAAGCAAACACCGCCCATACCTTTTGCTCACAACATTAATACAATTTTTTAAAACCACTCAAAGCAGAAGGAGCCACGTTCCAATATCCCGAGTGCTGAAAGACGCACTTCTCTAACTCTGCAGGACTCTGCAAGGGCAAAGCCATTGCAAACTTAGATCCGTGAGCCCTCTCGGACGCGTGGTGTCTTTGTTGCTTTCTTTGTGGACTAGGCACCTGAACTTCAGTTTTTCAGAACAAATTAGAACTTGGGCCACTGTATTTATTTTTAAAATAAACTCTTTTTATTGAATAAAAGAGTATGAATGCTGCCAGTCTGTTACCTCTCTCCTACTCCATCCCCCAAAGCTGTGTTCAGCTTTCACTGAGGAGAAAATGAATAATGCAGGAGGGTCTCTAGGGGTTAGCTGAGGGTACCCGGGAGCCCCTGGCATGGGTAGGCTCTTGTGCATGTGTGTTTTCCCGGGGAGATGATCCCCAATTTTTCTTATATTTCCAGAGGGGCCAGAGACCAAAAAAGGTTTAGAGTCACTGTTGTAGGGGTATCGAGTAGAAAATAAAATTTCAAGCTAAAATTTCTTTTTTCAAAAGGAAACTAGTTCTATTTAGCTCCACATCATCATCCAAAAGGAAACTAGTTCTATTTAGCTCCACATCATCATCCTTGTTTACATGTGAGCCATCTTTGGTGTTCACTTAAGTCAAATTTGAAAGAGGATATCAGAACATGAATTAGGAAGATTAAGATAATTGTGTTTTTGCAGAGAAATTTTTTCTTAAAAGGGTGTATGTCTGACAAAAGAAATCTGAAATTGCTACTTATACTTAAGAGATACTCTGTAGGGACTGGGGAGGGTGAACGAAGAGTATTTTTTAAAAACAAGTATTTAGAAAAACCTTCAGCATTCAATAAGAAGTTCTCTGTAGGTGTGTTTAAAAATGTTTTATGTATTTACTCTTTGGACGAAAGGGTCCCTGTAAAGTAAAAGTAGATTACAGTCCTAAAACTACATGAATCTAGCTCTCACGCTACGAAGACATGAGTCAGCTGGCAAGCTTCCAACAATCACCCTTTACAGATTTAAATAAACATAGGTCTTATACAGTGATTTTGCAAAAAAACTTAAAATAACATGGGTACTACTCAAGAAACCCTTTCACACAAAAATCAAGTAAGGAAAAATAGAAACTGACATTTTATGCTACGATTAGGTCAAAGACCTTTTTTTCCCTTCTGTATTTAAAAATAGTCATTAAAAAATTTTTTTTCTCTTCAATAAGTGACCATAATTTCTTTTTCTTTAAATTAAGGACAATGGAATTCAACAACAATTTGTTTTAAATTTTCAGAACCACTTATTCTATTCATCTAATTTTTTTAAATTAAGGGGAGAGAATACAATATTGTAGCTAATACATTTTTTAAAAAGATATTTTTATTGATTTCAGAGAGGAAGGGAGAGGGAAAGAGAGAGAGAAACATCAATGATGAGAGAGAATCATTGATCGGCTGCCTCCTGCACGCCCCCCTACTGGGGATCGAGCCCGCAACCTGGGCATGTGCCCTTGACTGGAATCGAACCTGGGACCCTTTAGTCCACAGGCCGACGCTCTTTCCACTGAGCCAAACCAGCTAGGGCAGCTAATACATTTGTTAAAAAATAAAACAACCCAACAGAGATTCTTTGGTTCTATAGGAAGTCTGCAGCCGCCCCAGCCTGTAGTCTGGATGGTGGGAGTGAGATATGAAAGGAGAGAAGAGACAAAGAGAAAGCCAAAGAAGAAAAGGCAGGTGGGGGGCAAAGTCACAGCACGAAGACAGGGAGACAGGGTAGTAAGGAAGAACAGAGACCGTCTTCCATGAGCGACAATGGCCCGGTTGATCATCTCTCGGGCAGCACAGCGAGTGATGGTCTGGCGTTAGAGTTACAGCTGGGGACATTCTCCCGGTGCCTGTCCTGACCTTGCCCAGGGTCAGCGCTTCTGACCCTGATTACGGTGATTGTGCTCCATTCTTGGTTCTCGGACAGCCCTGGGGCCTTAGCTCCTCAGAGACAGTGTGTCGGGGGGACTGACCCAGCGCCTGGAGCATGACACCTTCATGACCACACAGCAGACGCTGTGTGAGGATGAGCCCACTGAAGGAATTCAGTTCTCTAACCTTGCCCATGGAGAGCTTTCTTCTTCCGGATTTCTCTTCTGAGATCTTGGAAAGCAATTCCACAACTCAAACAAAACCCTACTTTCTCCTCCATTCTCTCTGCTGAAGGAACTGGGAAGCACCTTCGGGTTGGAAAGAGTGTAAGGAAGACTTGCCTAAGGGCCATTAGTTATCCATAAAAATATTTTGTGTGGCTCCCTCTTCTAAAAGTCAACATCTAAGTGAATTGGAACTGGGTGGGGGCGGGGGGGGGATGATCACGGGCCAAATTTCAGCAGCAAAAGCTTCCTGGCCAGTTTATAAACGTTCGAAAATACTGCTGGCACGTGCAGAGGAAACATTATCCGCTGTGCTTAACACTTCTCCAGTCAGCTCTGGAACGTGATATGTAAAATCGTCAAACTGCAAGGAAGCCGTCGGTCTTAAACTTTTGTGAGGCTTAGTCAACAGATCTGGCACTCACTCTTTTCTAAAAAGCCAGCTCAGAGAAAAGCTGAATAAAATATGCATTTCCAACACAACATCTTACAAGTTTCTTCTCTCCCTTAACATTTCACTTTGTCTCATGTTTCCAAATTAGCTGAAATAGAGTCTACTTAGGGATCAAAGAAATGGTGTCAGAGAAATAATCACGTCTCTTTAACTGTTATTAGGACCTGAGGTAATGTTATCGGGAGAAAGTCATTTTCTAGAAGGTTCTGCATATGACACAGCCCTCATTTGGGGGAGGGGAAGAGATTCCAGGCTCCCCAAGACCCTCACATACAGTGCAGTGAAGCTTGGGACAAGGGAGACCTTCATTCGAGCTTGACTCTACCGGGGACCAGGTGTGTGATCTTGAGCAAGCTCCTTCCCCTCCCTGTGTCTCAGGGCTGTCAAATGTGAAACGGGGGTGACAACTCTAGTGCCAGGTGCATAGGGCTTTATGAGGAGTAAGGAGATAAGGCCTGAGCCTGGCCCTGTAAGCACGCAATCATCCTTATTGCCTCTGATTTAATATCCGTTGCGGCATCTGCACGCCCTGGGTATGGGACAGGCTGGGTCTTTCCCCCGGTGCTCCGCTTGTTCTCTCTACCTTTGCCCCTATGATTTTAATTCATTGGCTTTTATTTTATTTATTTTTTAATCCTTTATTGTTTAAAGTGTTACATATGTCTCCTTTTAGTTTATTGGCTTTTAAGTCTACTTGGTTCTTTGACATATTGGGTGGCCTTATTATGTCCAGGAAAAACATGCATGAAGCAAACTATGGAAAGGTTGGTCTGAAGAACACCTATCCCATTGGCCTATGAAAATGCTGGATAGGAATCACCCTTCCTCTGAAACTTCAAAAACTACACATCCATTATTAGCAAAGTTCCTTGGAAGAATGAGATTTTGTCAAAAACAAGGGGGTGGTTAGCAACAGAAGAGAGGAATGGAAGCAACAGCGAGGGGCAAATTTACTCAGTCCTGGGCAGAGCACAGGCCCTGGGGCCAGAGGACCGGATGAACGCCCACCCCAACACCAGTTGCCTGCTTACTCCGGTAAGTGAGCCTCAGCTACCTCTTTTCTTTAATAGGGAACGTGATGGCGGTCTTCCCTGCCACACGCAGAGTCTTGAAGGAACAAATGAAATGACATCCTGAAATATCCTGAAAGCCACAAGAAGTCATAAATAGCAGCAGAGGCTGAGCCATGAGGGTGTGAGGGAAACCCTGTACTCTCAGAGGGAGGCGGGAGGGCCAGGGGAAGGGACTCCTAACCCGAGGATGGGAAGAAGGAAGCAGGCATGGAGAGGGGGAAGAAGAGGCAAAAGTGGGCATCAGAAAAAGGCTCAGGGGTGAGAGGTGGACTTGCTACCTGACACTGGCCCCCAGGGCCAGCTGCCCACCTGTGCTGCATTCTTCCCAAAACAAGGAGTGAAAGTCTACTATAGTCACTGAAGAAATAAAAATCCGAGACCACAGAAACTGTGGGTGCCCTCCTGGACACCACCACACCCACATCCTGGCCCCAGGAGGCGAGCTTTAGAAGGATTTCATTTCTCCCACATACAGAGGACAAGGGAGTTACTGAACACAAATGGGAACTCAAAGATACTCTAATCTCCTCCCCTCTGGGTCCATGAGAAAGCAGAGCAGGCTGAACCCCCAAAGCCAAGGGAGAGGAGTGAGAAGCACTCGGGCCTGTAATTCAGGAGAATTTAGGAAGTCCAAGTTCTACACCCAGTATTGCTGCTGGTCACTGACCTCTCTGTGCCTCAGTTTCCCTGTGTCCGATGTATGGATACTGGTGTCAAATGGCCCCTTCCCACCCTGGCATTGTCTGGCTATCGGGCACTTCTCATTGGTGAGGATGGTTGAAGGGTCGCAATAGGGGAACGAAGCCTTGGAATGGAGAAAGACTCTAACAGAGGTGCCAAGAGCAAAGGTGTGTGGGTAAGGAAGAGAGAGGATATCCGTGCCTCAGTGAGAACTGGCTCAGATTCTGGGAGGCCACTCCGTGGTCCAGGGAGAAATGCCAAGAAGCATTTCTGGGATAGGAAGACTCCATGCCAAGCTCTTTGAGCATCAGGGCTGTGTTCGTTCATCTTTACCCCCCAGTGCACCTAACACAAGATGAATAATTGACTGAGTGGAATTTGCTCAGGGAGCAGAAATATGAAGCTTCAATGAAATGTTATCAAAATCGCCCAGTGATAAACAACAAAATCCTACGTGGCTTGGTAACAGCAGGATGTGGTGGGAAGGTAGGTTTTACTGCCTCCCAGAGAAGAGCAAGTAAATAATCAAAGACGTAGAAAACAAGATCTCTTTCTTGTTTCCTACAGGAAGGGTGATAATAGCTGCAAATATATGGAGGAGCTTTGCAGGTAAGAGATGCAGTTCAAATGCCATCCATGTCCCCGAAGTAAAAGAAAATGGGTTATTTAAAAAACAAGATTGTGGTCAGAGAAAAGCAAAAATGTCTCGGTGTCAGTGATCAAACCACTTTTCTTAAAAAAAGAGAAAGAAAAAGCCATTATTTAATTGTGACCTTTTCCAAATGTAATTCTCTTGACTATTTCATTATCAGGATTCACAGAGTGAATAAATACTCTTTATATTAATAAATACCACAATGGAGTTTTTTTAATGTCTCAATTCTTTGTTTAAACATTCAGATTTCTTCCTCAGGGATAGCAAAAATTTATGCTGCTCATTATTTCTAAAATCAGGTCACTTTGGCTAAATAAACATCCTGTTTTTAAAATAGAAATTAAGCATTTAAGGGCTCTCAAGGGTTATTCTTACTGACATCCTCTCCATGCAATCCAATGAACCCAAGGATAATAAGATATGCAGTAATTATAAGACGTCTGGCCAAAAGATGTTCTTCTGTGTGTAAATATTTTATGGAGTCAGCACCACGCAATGGCACCTACAGAGTAAAATATTGCCTCTGGGAGCCCTGGGGAATCTTAACCACTTCTCATTAATCAGCCCCTCTTACTTTGTGTACCTAAAACAGTGTTTCAAGAGATCAAAAGCCATTAAAAAATGAAAACATCCCTGAAAGATGGTATTAACACTATTTACTAAGAGGTAGCATTACTGAGGTTTCAAATGCAACATGCACGATAATCAAAAAGCTTACCTCGAATGACCTGTTGGGGCAGAAGCAATGAGTGTAAAGAGAAATCACCAGTTACATCCACTCTACTAAGTCGTTACAAAGAGACTCCGGTTTACCTCGTTCTCTGGGGTGGGAGATGGCGTTACAGAACTAAGCGAGCCTTTCCTAGATCCCTGAAGGTCCGCTGGGATGGAGACAGGGCGCTCCCACTGTGTCGTTCCTGTTGGTATGTGCCAGTAATAGGTCCCAGCGATGTCACTGACTCTTTTCCAGCCAGGAGGCAAATCCGGGTCGGTCTGAAATGAGTGATCACTCCATACATCTGCTGGGAAATGGAAAAAAAAGAGAGGGTTTTGTTAAAAGAGGAAACAAATTACAGTCTTCCAAGTTTAGTACCAACAGTCAGGAGAATTCCATAGACAGACGTGTCCAGAGCCCAAGAGAGAAGAACCACAGCCATCCAACAGACACAGAGCATGGTAAAAGGGTGATATGGAATAAAACAAGGGAAGAACTGGAAAGGAAGGATGATGTTTGAGAATCTACTAGTATATATGTAAAAGGCTAAAACGCTAAGTGTCTGTCCAGGTAATGACGTCATGCGGCAATGCCCAACTTCCTCTTCCTAGCAAATAGCCTTCTTGCCGTTTCTTCAGCCCAGGAACATGACTTGCTTTATAGTCAGGTGGAAACATTTACACTTTAACCAAATGTCTGTGAAGCGTTTTCCTGCGCCTCATCTCATTTGATCCTCACAGAAGTCCTGGAGTAGGTAGATAGGAGACTCGGTGGAATCCTATTTTCTTTCCATTAGCTGGAAAATGGAGGCTTAGAAAACTTAGAAACTTGACTTGACTAAAAAGAAGAAATGGTGAACCTTGAAAATGACTTCAGGTTTTCTCACTGTGCAGAATATAGTCAAACATGGCTGCAGTTAAACATTTTACCCTTTGTTCTCCCTGCGTGATCTACAATAATAATCCGCTTCATGCTGATATTTACTGCTGTGTTGCTGACAATTACCTGCAAGAGAAGTTGGGATGCTTCACTGGGCTGGAAAAAGTTTAGCTACATTAGAAAGTAGGTCTAATTAAGCAAGTTTATTCTATATCTATAAAAGGCTAAGTTGACTCGCGCATGCGCAATACATATAAAGCTCTTGCTGGCGCCAATCGCACATGTGTGTTTCCATCTGTCATTGTTGATTGTGAATTTGGTTGACACTTCTATTATAGCAAAAGGGCGAATAATGATATTAAAATATTTCTTCTAATTAATTTCCTTTTAATGTGCACGAATTCATGCACTAGGCCACTAGTCCTATATAATAAAAGCCTAATATGCAAATTGTTCAACCAGGACTTCGACCACTCACTATGACATGTGCTGACCACCAGGGGGCAGCGTGGAACATGGTGGGCATCAGCGACACAGTGCTGGCAGCGGGCAGCAGTGGAGGTGCCGCTGGCCCCGATGGGCCCTGACGAGAGCGGGACCACAGCAGGTTGGTGCAACAGGTGAGCAGGCAAGGCCAGGCCAAGGCAGGTGTGAGCGGGGGCCTGATCACCCTGCCAATTGCCCTGTAGACGGCAACCAGCTGCTGGCAGGCCCTGCTTGCCCAATTGGGGCCAGGCCCTGGGCTGGGATGGGAAACAGGGTGGGTGGCGATGGCCAACCTCCCACATTGCCTGGGCATGGGCTGCAATGGAGGTGCAGTGAGAATGCGGGGTGTCCACCAAGCTCGCTCTCACTCCTCCTGCTACCCTCCCCTGGGACACCAGGGCTCACGAGCCAAGAAGTCCCCGCACTTAGGTGCCAGGCGCTCGTGAGGAGGCCGCCCTGCACCCATGTGACCTCTTCTGAGTGAGCCGGGCTGCAGCCACTGGGACCGCAGGGGCTCCCCATGGGTTCGCGCAGGAGCCGGTCTGCGAGGCTGGCTAGGAGAGAGCACACTGCCCATCTGGTTTCTGTGTGGCACTGCTGGGTGGCCCAGAGGCCCACGCTGCGCCCCAGCCCATGGCGTCTGGCCGCACTCACTGCATCTCCGTGTGGGGACTCAGGCGCCATGACTCAGGCAGAGGGGGACACGCGGGGGGCCCAGAGGTCAGCTGGGACCTGCCCTTCCATTCCAGATGCTTGTGCTTCGAATGCCGGCCAGGCCTAGGGACTGCACCCATGCATGAATTTCATGCACTGAGCCTCTAGTATTTATATAAAGGATCCACTCACTATCAAGTTATCCAACACCTCCAAGAATCCTATGATCAAATCAAGGCTCTATTTGTTGTTAGGTGCCGTTTAGTCGGCTCTGACTCCTGGCGGCCCTGTGACTGAGTGATGTCCACAGTGTCCTGTCCTCAACAGCTCTGCTCAGCTCCTGTAGACACAGACTTGTGACTTCTTTCATGAAGTCACTCCATATTTGGACTTCCTCTTTTCCTGCTGCCTTCTATTCTTCCAGCATGATTGTCTTTTCTAAAGAGCCCTCCCTTCTCATGATGCGCCCAAAGCAGGACAGCTTCAGTTTTGTCATTTGTGCCTCCCGCGATGTTTCAGGCTTACCTTGCTCCATTATCCAGACTTAACTACCTAGGTGAAATGTACAAGTTATGCACAAAATCTATTGAATTCATTTATAAATTATTAGTAAGATTTACTGCCTGATATTCTATAACATTCCCAGCAATGAGTACAACTTTTATTTTCTTTTAACCACTTTCTATAAATGGATACTGTATTTCTACCTTTTAATAACTCCTCCCATTTGATATAAATATATGCACAATAACAATGTTTTTTATAAAACTCTAGAACTCTAAATTGCATAAAGAAGACTCTCAAGGAAGATGGCCTGGGAAAGCTTTGATATTCAGGAAGGGACCAGGCTGACTATAAAACCAGGCCAGTAATATACATATATAAAGTCACATGGGTGTGAAATACGACAGAGAATGGTGGGGACTGTGGCAAACTGGCAAGCATGTGCAAAGTCCAAACGCGTTCAAATTCAAGAAATTATTTTTAAACACTGTAGGGGAGGTGGTAAATAAAATAAATCAGCCATTCCCTGGCCTATGTGAATATTTTATAAGTTTACTAAATAGCTATTTGCTTTTTGAAAATCTCATTCTTGACTTTTTTTTTTGAGTTGAATCTGAAATGGATTAAAGTGCTAGAGAAGACAGGAGAGGGAAGAGGAAAAGAATAAGAAATTCACAGAGGCAGAGGCACAATGGAGGAATCACAGGCAGCCCATCACTGCAGGCGGGTAGAAAAACTTAAGAAAGTTGAGCTCTGAATCTGGGGATCACTTTATTCTAAGGATCAGGTCCTTTTCTCGGTGGCCATTCAGAAAAGGCTGGAGTGCAATGCAAATGAGAAAGCCTGTGGGCCTTGCTCTGTGCAAATGTCACTGCATCACGTGGGCAGGCGGCGCGGAGGCTGCTACAACCACCACAGGAAAGAAAGAAGCGAAACAAAGAGGTTGATTAAGACTATGGGCACAGATGTACATTCATGAGGCTGTTTGGATCCCAGCATTCACTTTCTCATTTAAATCTGCCAGAGGCAAAACTGCCACTTGTCTCAAATTATGATGGAACTTCCCCTCCCCCTGCAGGAAATTAAGCATGATTAAATAATTTCAAGTTACCCAAAGTCCAAACAAACATGTGCATAAACTCCTTTGTCCTGTGTTGGTTTTAGGAGGTTGTTTCTGCAGTTACATTGTTTTCAGCATCGCAACTGAGACAGGACCGGTAAATATATGGGTCTGGGGACCGTGGGAAAAACGATCAAGCGTGTTCCCCTGTCCCATTCCAGTGGCTCCAAGACAAGCTCTGGGGCTAGAAACTGAAAGGACATAAAGAGGCTACTCGTTACCACTTCTGGGGTTTCTTAGGTCTGTTGGTCTGCATTTACACATTTATCCTAGCTTCCTCTACAGCTGGGGCATTAGCATAGCTGGAGAATAGCTACAGACAGAGCACTAGCACAATATGAAATTACTAGAGGCCCAGTGCACAAAATTTGTGCATGAGTATGGTCCCTAGGCCTGGCTAGCGATCAGGGACGATTGGGGCCTTCTGGATGCCAGCCGGGGACTTCCTTTCCTGGCTGCTGGCTGCCGGCCAGGGCCTTCCTTTGTTCCGAGCCACCCCCTGGTGGCCAAAGCACGTCATAGTGAATGATGGAACCCCCGGTCTCCCGGTTGAACTCCTGAGGGGACACTTTGCATATTAGCCTTTTATATAGATAGATGTCAGACTAAGGACAGAGACCAAGGTCAATGGTCTTCAGGTTTGGCTGTGTGAGGAGATACCTCAAGGGCAAAATGAAAGGAATTGTGGGTTGCAGGGCAGGAACTAAGTGGGCTGTTCTGTCTTTAACCAGACCCACTTATATTTGTTTTATATTCTGAGTTTCTGCTGAGATTCCATTGGAATAAAGAAAGGGGGGGGGAGTGATTCTGTTGGTAAAAATTGATGATGGTGAAATGATGATGATCGAGGAAGTAAGGTGGGCACATCTACAGTATTGTTAACAGTTCCAGAACCACTTATGGAATTCCTTCCACATCATCCCACACTGGCTGTAAGGGGCTGCAAGCCCTATGAGGGCAAGTAGACCTCATGCTGGTCTTGTTCACCATCATATTCCCAAGAACTAGCACAGCAGGTATTCACTAACATTGAGTTGGATGAATGGTGAATGGATAAACGGATGGATACATAAATGAATGGATGGGAAGCAGAAGGAATAAAGAAGAAGGGAGAAATGAATGAATGAAGTCCTTGAGTAATGGGGATTTGGAACTTGGCACTTAACGAAAGAGGGATTCTGAGGAAATAAGTTCTGTGCAAGTTCACCAAAGGGAGCAACTCCCCAACCCACAGGGATGCTAGTTTCTGGTTAGAGCGATGTCTCCTTCCCTGGATGGTGCACGTGAATGTTCTTATGTATAAAAAGAAATGTTATAGGAAATTTTGGGAAGAATTCTGGGCTGGAAGTCAACAGACTTTGAGCTGAGAATTCTGGGCTGGAAGTCAAGAGACTTTGAACTGAGATTTTGTTTGTTTCTTTCTTTTTTAATATATTTTTATTGATTTCAGAGAGTAAAGGAGAGGGAGAGAGAGACAGAAACATCAATGATGAGAGAGAATCACTGACCGGCTGCTTCCTGCACAACCCACACTAGGGATCGAGCCCGAAACCCAGACATGTGCCCTGACCGGGAATAGAACCGTGACCTCCTGGTTCATAGGTCAATGCTCAACCACTGAGCCACGCTGGCTGGTTTTTTGTTTTGTTTTGTTTTTTTATCGA